GCTGCGGGCTCACACGTCTTCGGAGAGCGGGCCTGCCGCCCTCACCCGCGTTTGCGGTGGAGAGCGACCGCGCCGGCATGGAAATCATGGGAAATATGTTTTTAAAAAAAAAAGGATAATTAAGTTTGCGGTTGCCGCCCGCCGGCTGGAGAGTTAATTTACGGCCCCCCGGGCTCGATGCAATCCAAACACCTTCTCGTGTCAGGCTGCCCGGGGAAAGAGCGCGCCGCTCCCCATGGGTGGGTGACGGGGAGCGGGTCTCCAGCAGGACGGGAGCGTGGGAAGGACTGGGGAGAGTAATGCTGCCTCTGTGCAGAAATGATTTAAAAGCTTTAAATAAATGTTACACGTGATATACACAACTTCTTGCTTATCATAGAAAGTAATGGGTAAGGAAAGACCCATTGCCAGTGCGATAAATCAGATTCTGCGTTAGGCTAATGCTATCCCTGCCGACCTTGGCTCTGGTGAGGCTCTACATCATCCCAGCTCTGATGGATGATGCACGTTTGCAAATCAATCCGGCAGATCTAACCCCTCTCTGGAGCTGCCCTGGGTGTCTCTGACATGCTCGCGCCAGAGCGATGTTTCCCTCTTGCCCCAGCTTGCTCGGGGTATGGTTCTCTCCGTTCTGTGTCCCTGCGCTGTCGGTACAGCAGGGATGGAGCGGTGTGGTACCCGGGGACCTGGGCTGCAGCGGGCGGTGGTGTCCACCTCCCCTTTCACGATCGCGTTAACTGTCTTCTTCTGGTCCTGTTTGTACGCTCCGGGCCAATAGCCCATCCTCTGTAGCCCACCTGCAGTAACAAGAAGTTATTCAAGGCTCTAGCTTAAATCCCATGTGGTTTAGATCATGTTCATTTTGGGGGCGATGCTCTTTTCTGGACGAGCGTGTCTCGTGTTATAGCCAGAGGTGTTTGTACAATAGCTTCTCCGCGCCAAGTGACAGCCGCTCTTCAGTCCCTGACAGCAAAGTGCTGGAGATAATACCCACGCAAGGGAAGATGTAGTTAATTATTACCACTCAGATCTTTTTTATAACTTGGGTATTTTGTAATGGGTTCCTAAATTCATAGTAGGAAGTTACTTGATCCTCAAAGCTATAGAAAACCCTTGATAAATCTTTGCTTAATTAGAAGCAAAGTTCTTTTATAGCTGGTCTTGGGTTTGTGCCACATGCATTCCCAGCAGAGGGTTATTGCAAACCGATACCCGATAAAAGCATAGCAGTCTGTCTCCTGTAAGAACATATCTGTAAAACACCACGTCTGTTGGTACCCAGTGTTTTTCTCTGTGGCGCGGGTCACCTGAGAATAAGCTGTACTAGAAGATGCAGCGATCGTTATCCCAGCCGTGTGGAATATGCGCCTGGGGCTTGCCTGACCGACACAGGACCTCGGTGGCCACAAGGCAGTGAGTCGTGAGTGAAGGCAACTCAAACCTTTCACTTTTCTCTGGCCAGAGGAAGCCCAGAATAAACAGCAAAGCCCTCTGAGACAGGTCTAAGCAGGGCTTAGGGATTAACTGTAAAGTCCCTCTGAAGCGCGTCCTTTAGTATTGGCAAAGCAAGCCAATGGTCTCCACGCTGCTTCCCCTGTTTTGACTTTCTTTTTCTTTTCTGTTAGCTTTTTCTCTCAGCTGTTCTGGGTATGTGGGAGATAAGTCTCTTATCTCATGCAGAGAGGGCTTCAGCTAGGTTTTTGTTTTAGGGGTACGAATGCCTTACTATAGCTGTGTGTGTGTATATATATATATATATATATATATATATACACACACACGCGCGCACACCACTGGTTTAGCAGTTAACTTCGACTTTCCTGTTCTGTTTGGAGTGTTTTGCACTTCAACTTACATCTTATAAAGGCAGGTCATTTCATTAAGGACTAAGTTGTCCAACCCAATTTCGAAGCTTCTGTTCTTGGCGAAGTTGGTAATCTAATGCTATTTTTTTTGCAAAAAAGGAGACTTCCCTGAAGCAGGGAAGAAATGGCTACAGAGGGACAAAGTAGGCCAGTAACCTTTAGCAAAAGGACAAAGATTCTTTGCAACTTGTGCTGCCATTCTCAAGTGAGAAGAAATGAACTGGGAGCTATACATTGCTCTCAAGAGGAAGCACAGAGCCCAGGTGGGCTTTGAGCTGTGGAAATCCAGCTCAGGGTAACAGGATAAAGCTCTGCTGAGTCACAGAAGTTGGGTTTTTTTGTTTTTTTTTTTTTTCAGAAGTTGCTTGAACAGATCCTAATGAGAGATGTGGGTTTCAGGATATCCAGGATAATATGTTGAAAATACTGGGAACCTGGGAGCTTCCTACCAGTTCTAAGGCAGGAAACTTGATGGAAACTTGCCAACTAAGTTATGCCCAGGATTAAGGAGATGAGCTTAAGTGATTTGTTTATTTTTATCTGCCTGTGTATTCCTGAGTACAGCCTTCATTCTTGCACCAGTGGCAGTTAGCAGTACTGTCGTATGCAGAGGTAATTTAGGGCTTTATCTAGCTCAGAAACAGATTGGAAACAAGTATTTTCCAACCTAATCTTTAAAAATTGGAGTTTTTTGTCTGCTGACCTGTTTGAGCTTTCCACTTCAGGCGTGCCACCAAGCAATAGAAGTAGGTATCGCTGCTGTTTTGGGATCTGATTTGCAAAAGTTGCAATCTGTGTGAGATGTCGTTCTGGCAGAATAGAGGGGCAGGTAGCCATAGGAAATCCTGCATGTGGATTGAGAACCACCTCCCCTGCTGGTAAGATTTGTAGTAATTCCTTGGGAGCAATGCTGCTAGCCTCACGTCATCAGTCTCTGGCTGTAGATGAGCATTTTTGATCCTGTTCCTATTTAGGCAGTCACCCTTTAGATATGGCAGTTAGGTATTTCATGCTTATTTCCCCTACTTTGAGCTGCGCTGCTTTCGTAAAAGCTGTGCTATTACTGCACCACTTTCTGAATGGGATACATTACTATCTCCTTGCTCAGCACTGTTTTTTGTAAATGGTTTGACAATAAACGCACGCAAGTGCTCGTTGACTGAAGGCAGTGAGTATCTAACCTAGGCTTCCTTTTCCAGGTATTACCCATGCCTGCTGCCGGTTGTTTCAGAGCCCTGTGAGAATGCTGTGCTATACAGGTACCCTCCGTGCTTGTCAGCCAGCCCGTGCAGTATCCTGGAAGTCTTAGATTTAGTTCCCTTGTAGTCTCCTTGTCTTGTGCCAGAAGACAGGTAACTGCTGCAAGCTCCTGGTTAGCAATCCCTGTAAGCTGGGAGTTCTGAGAAGTCCTCACCCTCTGCTAATACCCGCTCTACGCGTAGTCTAGGAAACAGCTGGAGGCTTAGGTATTTCCCTCTTCTCCGAATGTGACATTTCTCTCAA